CTCTCTCTCTCTCACTCTCATTTACTTTTAATATTTGCAATATTTATGAAATATCATTAGTTGTATATCTGAGAAAAAGCAATGTCTGTCCGTTTATTTGAGAGCACAGCACACGCCAACCTATACGCCCGACACAGACCCTCAGTGCCCGACAAAGTGATTGATATTGTGTTGGATTATCTGCGCCAACAAATCCCTGAAGATCAATGGCAAGTGGCGGTCGACGTGGGCTGCGGTAGTGGACAGGGATCTAATCAATTGTCGACACACTTCAAGCACTGTTACGGCTTTGACGTAAGTCCGGCCCAAATCGGCGCTGCAAACAGCGCTCAACACTCGGCCAACGTTTCCTATGCCGTGAGTTTGTATTTTCAATGCAAACATCAATTAATATACATATGTTTTATACTAAAATTCTCGGCACCAAAAGGTATGTCCGGCCGAGAGTTTGCCCACAATTGTGTCCAATAGTGTACAACTGATGACCGCATTTGAATCCGTGCATTGGTTTGAATTTAACTCGTTTATTAATGAGTGCACTCGAGTCCTGTGCCCTAATGGTGTGCTCGCAATGGTTGGACGTATAGCGCCGGAGGCCTACGACCCCATTCGTCCGGACGACCGCAGTCTAGTCGACCTGTGGTACGAGTTGTATACCGACGAGAGGTTAAAGCCATTTACAAATGCTAAGTTAGTGTTACTCGGGAGAAAGTATAGAGATATCAAACTTCCCGATAATTACGAGACGAGTCGTATGGATGAAGTGGTGGTCACTGAACGAGTGTCGGCGCAGGAAATTGTGGGCATTTTTGAATCGTGGTCACTATATCAGGGTTTGGCCAACGCTGATAAACAGGCGGCTCAGCTCATGACCCGAGAAGTGATACACCGATTGAAGTCTATTCTCAATGTTAGTGATCTGTCGGCGAAAGAAGTGATTTTCAAATATAATTATTTTATAGCAATCGCCAGAAAAGTTGAATAATTATTTTTAATCATTTAATACTGTTATTCAAACCTATTATATGAATTGAATAGTAGTTTTGTTTTGTCTCTTCAAAATGATTGTTTGCTAATTGTTTTCTACGTTTAAATTTAATAATTTTTAATATAAATATTTAAATTTAACTCTCGGTATAAAATAACATTTAACAATTTGTGATAGTTTTGTATTATGCAAATTAAAAATAATGTATTTAAACACATAATGGTTTATGTAATATTATTGTAAATGAATAATTAATTTTTAATATAATTATATAAATAGCATAATGTTTTAAAGAAATTATTATTTAATATCATTGAATGATAATATAAAAAATATCACTAAAAATATTTTTAACCAAATAATAATAATTTTAATAATAATAATAATTTCAAACAAATATTTTTTGCCATGATCAAACTCCAAAAAAATAAATTATTGGTTGTAAAACAAACAAAATAGATGATTGTGTAAAATAAAATATTTTTCAATTATTTCTGCAATTAGTTTTGCCATAATTTGAAACAAAAAATTTGACAAAAACATTTTAAACAGTCTCTCTCTCTCTCTCTCTCTCTCTCTAACTTATACACAAAGTTATCTAAACTGAAAGCAAAGTTATGTAACTTTGTTTTGCAACCCATCCCTACAGCACTATATATAATACTTATTTATTATGTTTTTCACTTTTCTGTTGTTTTATTTACCATTTGAACATTTATTTTTATGACTGCATGTTATTATATAAATCGTTTTTGAGATTATAAAAAACAAAGTGTTAAATTTATTGGAGAGAGAGAGAGAGAGAGACGGCTTTTAGACATAACATGGAATGATAAAAAATGCTTCAAATGACCAAGGTCTACTTGAACCACTGGTCATAAGGTGATGGTGGATATGGTTTGCCATTCTCGTCATGACTTCTGCGATAAGTAGTGCTCACTCTCTGCTGACCGGTGTTCGGGTCCTTATAGTTGCGAATAGTCATCGAATCCACGCTCTCGAAGAAACTCTTCGTCTGATTGTCGTTCTTCTGATTGTCTTTCTTCTGGTTGTCGTTCGTCTGATTCGCGGTCTTCTTGTCGTCCACTTTTGGAGGCCATGAAGAAGAGGACGACGTCTTTGAATTGTCTGATTTGCCGGACATTATGGTAGAGATTGGCTGTGGCTTTGAGTTGAAAAGTTAGTGGATTTCAAAGTATATTAACTCTTTGGCAACTGAATGAAAATTTTGGGATTTTGTTGGCTTTTTATAGCAGTCTTTGTGAGGCATGTATTTTGGTTATGCAGTTTGGGTGTCTCTTTGTGTTCATCCAATAGCTCTCTCCAATAAATTTAACACTTTGTTTTTTATAATCTCAAAA